GAGAGAGAGAGAGAGAGAGAGAGAGAGAGAGAGAGAGAGAGAGAGAGAGAGAGAGAGGAAGAGAATCGTGATACGGAGAATGAGGAGGAGGTACCCGCATTAAATCTGTGGCATTGCGCAAATCATTCTCCAAGGAGATGATACTTCTCTATTGACCCAGATCGGACACCATGGACCCATTCTCCGAGGATTTACACGCATTGAATCCAATGGACTCCGAAGAGCTCCGATTCTACGTGCCACGTCGACAACTGGCCTCCCAGGCCACCAGCGGACGACGTACTGCTACCAGTTACCGGAGGATATTTGCGGTAGTGATTCAGCCGACGCTGTCGAACCGCAGAACACGCAACATATAACAGTAAGCGTGCGTGTGCGTGGCGTGTGCGTGCGTCACGACTCATGAGAACCGACCGAAGAGAGAAGACAGATGGACGGTGGATACGAGTGAAAGAGACGAAAATTACAAGATGTAGAAGATGCCTAACCCAACCTCAAGTCTGGCAGATACTATACACCTTAAGAATTAGCAAGTCTTATTCAGTCTGGTTACCATCGGGCGAAGTCATGCCAGCCAATCTGCCCTGACGATTTCACCAGTAATAAACGTCCGTAAGCCAGTTGTACGTAAGCGCGAATAAACGAACCGTAAGGTCAGCGTGCAACTCGGGTTACTTTGCGACATGGCTAAAAAGTATGGCGACCTTGCTGAATGTAATTTCTCCGCGAGCCGAAGAACGAGAGTGCCGTGAAGTTGTCCGGCGAGCTGGAGTAGGCAAAGTCGCCCAGTCGCCGGGGCTGGATTTAAATGAGAATGAGGCGAAACGAAATGGAAACCGTAGCCAAGTTCCTACGCTGCTATACTCGGAATAGAATCCAAATAAAGTTTTCGTGTCGTCACCTACTCGCTACGCCATTGGCTCAACCAACTGCAGCACTGCGATACAATGCATGACTGTTATATATATATATATTGCACAGCACCGATCTTCGCGCCCGTTATTTCTCTCGTGTCGGTGACTACTTTACGGATGACCTTGAATGACCTTCGGGTTTATACGTATCAGGTTCAGCTCAGACAAAGATGCTATTTTACGTTGGTGCACGCACAGAACGTTACATTGTCGAGAAAGGAGGTAGGGGGGGGATGGCTATGCACTTTTAACAATGGGAGCAGTCTTGCGGCCTGGCTATTGTATTTGGCCTTTGTTGTAATACCGGGGGGAGGGGGGGGGAAGGACTTGGAAGGCCAGAAGATTTTTACCTGAGACACCGTTGGCCTCACGACAAAAGGGGGTAATGTGTTGAGCTTCCCAAAAATTCATTCCGCAGCATCCCCTTGCTAGGTTAGGATCGGCGAGGCGCCTGATTAGCTGCATTGTTGCAGTTTACCCGGGTTTTCGAGATCTATTGTCGGGCACCATTTTTGTTATTTGTAAGAGTAGACCCCCGTGTGGAAGACATTTTCCATAAATATATATCCCCACAAATATTCCTCGTGGCCTGTTCCTGGCCTGGCTTCTTCCTTTTTTTTTTTACGTCCCTTTAGGACACATTTGTCAAACGGACGATGCACCTTTCTATTGCCAATCGTCATTCCTCTCGCGTAGCCCAAGGTCTGGTAGAAGAACTGCACATGGATTCTTTTTTAGATTACAAATGATCCACTTATAGTGTGACGGAGGAGCTTAGATAGCATCTACGAATTGAAAACGTTATCTTCGATCGACAGAGGTGCCTATGACAACATCATTTGCTTTATTAGGAACGTACGAGCGTGCGTGAGCAGGTGATACGTCACTATGGAAAAAAAAAAAAAAAAAAGGTAGAATACAACTTAAAAGTCAATGATGTGACTAATTGCTGAAAAACAAACGATACTTAGCTGTAATTTCTCGAAATCGTTTGCGATGCATATAAATATCCTTATTCTCACTGTAGAACGCGTGATTACGTAATATTTTCTCATTCGATATGATAAAGTCTATCAATGATAATTCATTGCTCCCCAACCTCCTGTTTTATTAGGCCCGATTGCCGTACAAGCCGTGTGAGGTAGCGCGAGATTCCATGACCTTGAAACTGTAACGAGCGCGCCGGTTGCTCGGTCCCTCGTATAAATAAGCAATAAGTGTGTTCATTTAAAATTCTTTATCTCAAAGTAGCTATCCGTAAATAAGGCACTTGCGTCAGACTTTAAAAGTTGCCAGAAAATCTGTATACAGTATCTTCGTGATATCACCTCCGAGGCGACAACGGGAATACAGGTATACCCGCCGTAGTGCTTCTTGAAAGTCGCGCAATATACGCGCGATAACAATGACAAAGAGGAAGCCTCATTTTCTCGTGTCAGAGAAACGTCCCACGACGCTATCGGATAAACTCGTATGTGTCAGTTTATCAGGCTTCCCAAGAAGATTACAAGTAGGAAGCGTCATCGCGCGTTCCATGAATCGCAAGCTACTTCCATCTATCTCTTATGCTTACATTAGGAATATATAAGAGTGTATACTCGGTGCTTCTGCAATTCCTATTGCTTAGCCTATCCCACTGGATATCTCTCCGTCTATACACACAACAGCTTACGTAACGTTTGCTCGTCCTACGTGGGCGTCGCGCACGCCGGTATGAGCGAATTAGCGAGTCGCCGTCGTTGTGTACATAACGATCGAAAAACGAAGCCAGCAAGATTACACAACGATTATCGATTACTCGTTCACGCACGGATACAGTGGGTAAAAAAAAATGTGTCGACTACGATCTATTGAGGTTATGTACGGCGCGTCAAGGTTCGAGAAATTCGTGACCGTTAGAATCCCAGAGGGCGAGACCGTGCGGTTGTCATGGAGACCGAGCGCCGTGCGTTTGTCCTTTGTTTCAGGAGTAGCCTTTGAATTATTATTACTAGGGAACTTACAAAGCAAGACTCGCGGCGTTGGCCGTGTCCGGAAGGAAGCTTGTCTGCTGGGCGGAAACGTGATGATGCTGAAAGGCTGCCTGAGAGGGTGATCCTGCGTTCATCAAGTTGTAGGGCTGATAAAGGATCTGCGGCTGTGCCTGACTGGTCGCTGCAAGTAGCTGCGTCTGTCCCTGACTATGGGAATGAGGGGTTCCCTGCGTGGCCGTTTGCGGGCTGGCCGGAAGAACCGCCATTGCCGCGCCTCCTAGCACTGGTGGCATACTTCCGTGATCTCCGTGGCTTTTACCATTATTCGATCTCCGCACAGGACAAGTCGCATATCTCGCGCGGAGCTAAATGACTCGTAAACTTTCCCCGACGATCACCACGGTATGTAATTACTGATATATCGAATAAATAACGATAGCACCACCCCTTTAATACACCCCACTTGATCACTCTTCACGTACACTTTTGTGATTCCGTAAATACGAAATATCACTGATACTCTATTTCTTCTCTAGCACGACACGCATTCGTTAGGACATATGTGTAAATATCGTGTAGACTCTGAAGCACCGTTAATTTTAATTCTTTTTGTTTCCTCGCCGAAGCACCAGTCGCAGATACGCAACTGTGTTGCTAAGTTTCGTGAATGCCAGGTTAGATGGAAAATGGTCCGATGTCGTAACGAGTGAGTCGGTAACTTTGTGTCCTTTTCTTTATCTTTCCTTAAATTCGTGTTTCTTAATTTTATATATATACAGCTCTCTCTCTCTCTCTTTTCCCTTTTTAACAGCTAGCTTCACTGCTTTCTGCGCTCCACTCCTCTCATACGTAAAAAGGAGACGAGTCTCGCGCTATATCGATTCGTAGCACTGGGTAGCGCTTCCGTGAGCACACTGTGTATAGGGGGTGAAGTGTGTCTGTGTAGGTGTGTGCGTGTGATATTACTGCCGTCGCGACGTCGACGTCGACACGGAACAATGGGCAGCGGGAGCGACGTAAATGGCTGGCGCGAAGTTAGCCCGGGCCTTCACGGGGCTCTGAACTTCGCTGGGACAAAAAGTCTTGGCTTTTTGATAGAATAAACGTGATCCGTTGAATATACGATGCACGAAGTAGAACGATAATCACGGTAGCGAATAGACTGGCTGGTAAATAGTTAAAATAAAGGTAGGTGAATAGGCCTTTCACTTGGTGTAGCTTCTTCGCTTACGAGGGATCAATGCGTTCTCGAAAGACACCAGAAACAAAGATCGAATCGAATGCGAGTAGATTAACGAATGCGTTACGAAGGTCGCAGTGTTATTCACTTAATTAATCCCTTAGGCACTAGTATCGAGGATTGCGCACCGATTTTAGAATAACCACCAAATCACCTTTGATCCACGTATACACCTTTTAAGGGAAAAACAAAACTCGAGTTAATCCTCTTGACGAAACTCCTAGAAGATGAGTGGATACGAAGCAAACGACACTGTCGCGTCCGGGAACAAAAGACCTTGGCTCGAAGCGAGGGCGTCTAATCCCGAACACTTCTCACGATATAACACTCTCGATAACGGCTAGCACAAGGCTAGCAGTTCCCCTGGCGAGTAATCCGTAATTTAAATGTCGTCCGTTCGACCCCAGTCCTTGCTGAGACGCACTGTATGCCCAAGAGAATGGGCCAAAAATCCCGTTAAATGGGTCAATTAAAAAAAAAGCGTGCTCGCGCAGCTCCGCATAGATCAACCCACGTCGAAAGCCGCTACTCTACTGCGGCACTGTGGGGATCTCGGCCCCCCACCACAAGACCCTCGAGCGCGAGAGCAGATTTCCCCTCCAGTGGCCACCCTAACCCCACCACGTGAACCCCGATTCCCCTCCTCCCACGATATATATCCATTTCTCCTCTCGCACTCTCCATCTCGCTCCACGCTCAGCCCTATCACTATAGCTACGGGCAAGTCGCTCTTTTTAGGACTTGCCATCTTTCTCTTTCTCTCTAAAGTTCGCCCAGCGAGCGCAGCGATCCCCACTGGTGTCGGTGTGACCGAAGGCGAGCGACCGAACGACCGGCCAACTCAAGCACGTCGCCGTAAAAAAAAATACTCCGCGTGCATGCGCCCCTCGTGGTAGCTCTCCGTGTGCCTCGAAGAGTATTTCGTGAGAGAGTGCGCTCCGTCCGACGTGCGTGCAAGACAAAGAAGAAGAACAAGAGGAATGGCACGACCCGAATGTCCTTGCTCCTGCGAAATGTCTAAAGGACTCACCAGCGCCACTCTTTCTTTTTCTTTCCAGTATATGCATTTACAACCGTTGCGTAAAGCGAAATCGTGTTCGGCCATCGGCGTTCACTCCGCGTCCGTAAAGTAATGCACGGAGTGAACTGGTCTAGTACAACAAACTATAGATATACCCGTACACTCTTCTCACGGTACAAGCTGTGCCAGGCGTCGTCTAGGAATGCTTACGTTTCTACACGTCGAATCTATCGATGCCTCCCGATCATACGTGTCATTTCACGGATACTCCAGACCAATGACTAACATTCGTATACCTGTTAGTCACTGAACGAAAGGCAAAACTAGTTAGCAGTACCTAGCGCGCGTCCCAGGCATTCGGTAATATGCCTCGTGCAATGGGAAATCGATGACGGACTATAGGTCGCCGACAAATCCGCAGTAGTTCCCGGTACTACTTCTACATTACACTAACCACCTACAGCAGTCCTCCCCGCGCATAACTCTCTAATATGGTATGGAATTAGGTGCTTAGGCTGTACGACGTGAGTCAACGTGCTTCCTGCCTAGCAACCGTAACTCGTCGTCACAGTGGCCGATCTTCGGGGCCCGTAGCTACACATACGATGCACCGAGTCCCGCCTTCGGAGACTCCGCATGCGAAGGAAGCCTGCTGTCTGGTTTATGTAACGCACGCCCGAAGAGCGGCATAATGCGTTTCGAGTGTCTGTCTCCCGCATTCCCAGCGCAGCTGCCCTCGGTGCGTGCATGGGTTGCGCCGTATCGCGTGTGCGTAAGGAGAGGAGGTGGCGGGGGGTTCTCGGTGCATGCGTGCCTCGTAAAGTGATTCTTAGTGTGCGCGAGTATACGTGGTTTGCGTGTTTATATTTATGCTGCGCTATGTATACACACGGAGGACTATGTGCCACGTTGCAGTCACTGCGCTCTGACGACTTCCACGTTAAGCTACAGTATTACCGTCTGTCTTGTATAGGGGCACCACTAGCGTGTCACGGCGATTGCGCGTTCAAGGACAAGTGCGTTATATATTAATTTCTTCATGTTTCGCGTGATCCCTTTTTTTTTTTTTTATTTACAAGAAACGCGATTAACGGACTATTATAAGAGCATCACAGAGAACATTTACCGAGATGACGATCCAGATCAAATTTCCTAAGAAGATTACCAAGGTCTGGCAAATCCTTTGTCTCGTGGCAAAATGGCCGACCGGCGTTATAGGTAAGAGTTAGTCGTGTATGTTTGCATTAAGTACACAGATATATGCATACGTGCAATTTGTCATATTGAATTATGTTCGGTGCTATTTTTTTATAGGCTTTGACATCGACCTTGAGCAAGAAATCCCTAGTCAGGCATAGAGCAATGGCGTCGGTCCCGTGGCAGGACTACGTATTAAAGGCTCTTTTGTTTTCGAAACTTCTGAACACGAATACGATATTGAACGCTGCTGTGGGTTTCCTGCCGAGTGTACGACCTCGACTCCTTACAGACGCATATACACGTGTACCAGGAACATGGATTTAGCTCGTGCAGATGTCGTGCAGTACAAATCAGCCAATGGAGATGAATAAAGCGGCGACGAAAAAGGTGAACGTAAAGCAATGTAATCGCGACTACATAGGAATTGAGTCTAAAGGCGTATGTGGAAAAAATTTAGAAATACAAAATAACGGTCCCTATATAAAGCTATATATACATATTACCCATGAGGATGGTTCACCGTGTCCCCCGTGTAGAAATGTGTTTGCGCCAGCATCTATTGATTATATCAAGCGTCAACCCCTCCGCATAAATCCCAGGAACGGCAGTGCCTAACCCTCAAAGGGAAAACGCGTTCGACTACCCCTAGCCAGAGAGAGCCGACACGAGAGCGGCCACGTACAAAGAGGAAGAAGAAGACGAAGAGGAAGGGACGAAAGTTCCTAGGAAGTGGAACGGTCTGGCGCATACCAGAAGTTTAGCCCATTTGGACCCATAGCGAGAAATCACCCCCACGTACTATTTCACCCTCGTCCCTCTTAGCTACCCCCCATCCACGGAAGCCTCCTTTCCCATTCCCCCCTCTGCCCCCCCCCCGGCCCTGCCTCCTCAATAGCGACTCTGGTTGTCGACTCTGCCCGACTTCGCCATCTTATTGGATTTAGTAGCTCAATTCCCAGCGTCAGCTTTGTGCTCAGCTCGTTTCCTTTCTTCAAACCGTGACTTGGTTATCGGTACCTGAATCAGGACGGCGATTAAGGAAGAGAAGATACTGGAGGGGGAAAGTTGAAGGAGGAGCGTTCCTCGAACTTCAATTGGAATATCAAACAATGCACACGTGTATCCATACAAAAATACGTATGTGTATATATATATATATATATATATATATATATATATATATATATATATATATATATGTATACTTGATGGGGTCGCGACACGCTCCCGAGCACGATGCCGAATTCCAAACCTTGAAAGTCACAATTCTCCGTGACTCGTCGGCTTAACCGATGATCTCCCAAGGCCACGCTTCTACCGAAAGTCTTCTTTGATCCCCTAGCGACAGCCGTATCTAAGCTAGATACTCCGTCGCAGTCCCACCGATCGCGCAATCGTTACGAAGAATTATTAACACAACCGCATCTATGCGCGAACAGGGAAAACCAAAGACATTGCCATTAGAATGGAACTCTGTGACTGTTACGCGCAAACGGAATTCCTAATACTCATTCATCGCCATTCTCATTGCGTAACCCTGACAAGTCGAGCTATTCTAGATTGTGTATATAGCAGCGATCCAACGAGCCGTATCAAAGGCATAAAGAAAGAGTCATGACTAACAGTAATCCATATAGCACAGATATAGAGCGAAGCCAGAAAGAAAGGGCAAGGGAATTAAATAAAATTCATATATATATACATATATATATATATATATATATATAATTGTACACGATGTCGTGTGAGCAGGAAACACGTACTCGGTAACAAATAGTAATAATAAAAGAGGCTCGTTTGCCTGGCTGGTCCGAGAACCATACGCCATACCAAGCAACAATACACGAGTGACTCGGCTTCACCCTCGTATCTCTCGGTGGGTGTCTCGCGTGTGTTTCACATGTGAGTTCGGTATTCCTATATACGGCCGACGACTATGCATACGTGGAAGAGTCGGTTGCACATAGAGAAAACGTGTGGGGACGAACCGGCTCGCCCCGTAGCCGCTATAATAACCGCTCGAGCCAGCGAGTTGTAACGTTCGCGGCGGTACGAGGTCACGTGGCGACGGCGGCCATCTTGCAAATAACGATCCGTGCATCTGGCCTGGCGCACGGTGCGCACCCGTGTTTGCGATACTCTGACTTGCATGCTCGTTCGTGCACGGCCGCTGACCTCGTCGCTCCTCCGCTGCGACAGAACTGTGTTTTTATGAGGATTGAGAGTCCTCCTCC